TCTTGCAGCCGCACCCTCTCACTCCTCCTGCACTGAGGCTAACTCTCTGTGACTTGCTTTTCGGTGGAGGTCGCACAGATCTAGCCATCAATATTGAAACAGCATTTTCTCATGCGAGCAGGGGTTTTAGCAGCCTCTACAAGGGTTTTTTCCCTCAGGAGGCTAAATTCACAATGGCACAAGCCATCTGTTGTGGTGGGATTTTAAGTTCCATTGTCTCGTTCCTCTCTCCCTGTTTCTCTGTCAAGTGCCAGCCTAATAACCTATTCTAAAATTTTAAGTTAACTTTGACTGATGCATAAAAATATAATACACACATAAACTTTTGTAGACTGACACACTGTGTGACCAGAACTGGGAAAATTCAATTTTGCAGTTTTGAGACGAACAGTCCACTCTGTGTCTACGAGGAAGCTCTCTGTTGTCCTGGCCATGTGGCACCTCTGGGGACAGGGCATTTTGGTGGCAGGAAGCTGAGAGGGGTCCCAGCCAGGTGAGGATGCTACAGAAAGCTTATTTATCTACAAATCTAGATCTTAACTTCAGCAGCAATGTGCCAAATTGAAGTTTGTATTAAAATCTTTAGAAAAAATGTTCTTTGGGTTGCATTAGATATATCTCAAAAACTCAGAAGGCAGATTCGGTGATTTTTAAATCTTCAGATCCAGAGACTGTACTACTGTTTCTTACAAAAGTAGAAATAATTATGTTAGTGTCTTTTTTTTTTTTTTCATTTACAGACTGCAGGTTTGCTGGCACCAATACTGTTCATTCAGTCTGTGATCAGGTCTCCAGCAGGGGTTTGCACATGTGAAGTGCTCAGTCAGAATTAGGAAGAAAGGAAGGAAGGGACTGAAGGAAGGAAAGGAGAGACAGAGAATGAGAGGGAGGAAGAAAGGAGAGAAAGAAAATCCAAAATGAAAGGTGAACAATTCCAAGCTCTTTAACAAGCATTGAATTTTATTGACTGCCACTCTGGACTAAAACACTAAACATAAAGAAGTAAGTAAACAGATAGGGATGGTATAAATTAAATCTTCAAATAATGGAAATGTATTGCAAACTGAATATTGACATCATCATAAGTTATGCAGGTACTTATAGAACCAGCCTTCAGATCTGACGTTCTCTCTTGGAGCCTAGAAGAGAGTTGATTTTTATATCATTTAAAATTCAGCTGCTCTAAGAAGACCCTTCTTCGGCAGGACTGCGGTGAGCAGTGGTTTAGGGAAAAATGTGATTTCCTGGTTTAACCACGCCAGGCCCCCGCTAAGGCTCCACTGTCCCCCCCCATCTCTTGACCTTTGAATTCTAGACTTGTCTCAATGTCCTAGATGGTTTTTGTTTCATTCCAATTAATTCAGAGTGCTGAGCTGTGCAGGACCCTGCAGTGTGCGGGTCAGGCTGTGGGAGCCGTGGTGTGTGCAAGGCGGGGATTTCTCCTGTGATCGGCTCCTTGGTTGCTCAGTTGTGGGTCACTGCGTGGGGATGAGACCCAGAGATCATGGGTGCGTAAGCAGTGTCCTTAGGACAGGGAGCTATGTAAATAACCGCGGACAGAGGGACGGCGGCCAGTGAGCTGCCTGTTCCAGTTGAGGCCCTTGCAGAAATTCACCCTGTCATGCTTCCATCTATGTGAGACTGGCTTTCAAGCCCCACCTCTATGCGCCTGGGGTTATTCCACTTACCTGGACTAAAATAACACAGGATCAATTTTGAAAGAAAGGAAGACACTTCGGAGATCCTCCAGCCCCGCCCAATGGTGGGATGTTTCTATCAGCAAACCAGAATCCAAATAAAACCCGCAGGAAACAGGGCCGGACCCCTGTTGCTTGGCTGAAGCTGAGGTGGGCTTCTCTGGGTCACCTGCTGACGGGGTCACCTCTTCCCTGGACACTGTCTGGTTCCCTCAGCTGGGCTGTGTGTTCCCGATGCCACGCTGCCCTTCTCAGTGTTGTCCACCCTGGCCCCGGCCCTGGCCCCTACCCTCTCCTGTGTGGCTCAACTCAAACACTGCAGGGAGGGCTTCGGCAACACCTCACCATCTTCCCGTGAGAGTCTACACTGCTCACGCTCCGTGTATGCAGTTAAGTTGTGGTTCAGGCAGTTACTGAAAAGCAAAGGGAAACTTCAGGATGGATCACTGACGGCCCTACTGGGACACTCAGGAGGTTCTCGGCTGCGCTGTTACCCGGCACACAGGGTTACAGCGGACGACCAGGGCTGGCAGAGCGGATTTGGCTTCCCTGCCCACCCATCATTTGGCCATTTATTTAGAAATATCTGCTAAGTCCCTATTGTCACCACGATCCCCAAACGCTGTGGTAGAAAATAACAGCCATGGGGCGGGAGGCTGGAGGAGCTGGCTCCCTGCGCTTGGCAGGTCACTGAATTTAAAGTCCTTGATTTTAAATTTAAAGGAGCCTTGCAACCCATATAGAAGGATTTAATCACTCACTTAAAGATACAAAACATAGTAGCATGGCACAGCCTGGGATTCCAGCCTACACACCCCAGGCCAGCAATCTCCTGCGCAAGGACTCCAGGCTGGTCCCTGGTCGGTGTCGCCTTCCAACTCAGTTTCTTCATCCAGGGAATGGGAGCACAGGACTAGGCAGCACCCAGGATCACTTTATGCTTCTGAGAGCCAAGATAAAAAATGAAATTGTTCTGTAGAAACAAGACCTCTTGATATTGACTGTAAAGTAATTATATAGTTACAGAAGCTGTTTAATGGAAATATACCAGCATTGCTTATTTGAAATCCACTCACAAAAAGCCTGTTTCAACTAAAGGCTGTTGGAGTCCATTTGACTTTTTGTTTTAGTTTATTTCCCCTGGGTATGCTAATTTTCCACAGAAATCTATTATCCTTTTATTTATTTGCCGGCCTCCAGGGCACTGAGGTGGGCCAGTGTGACCAGGGCTTTGGAGGCAGGAAGTGAACTCAGGTGAAATATACAACTCCTGTGTCATTTCCGGGAAGCCGCTGGGCCCCTCTTCAGAATCTTCTCCCTACAGGATGGTGGTGCCTGAGGAAGCAGACACTGTGTGCTTCTCTACCCAGGATGACTGTAGGTCCGCCTTTTCTAGAAGCTGGCCGTCACCTAACAGGTGAGCTTCACTAAGAGCGCGGCTGTCACCACAGCCACAGACAGGACCAGGGCGGAAACAGAGCTCCTGAGACCCAGCAAGTTCCCGAGCCACAGAGAAGATGGACCCTGCGCCGGAGACAGAAGCAAGTGCAGAGTGGGCAGAACCGCAGCTCTGGGCACCGTGCAAAGGCGTGGAAGGTGCACAGAACGCGCCTGGCCACGCCGCTCCGGGGCGTCGTGTGCCACCCGTGGGAGGAGGAGCCCAGCCCTCTGAGCGGCTTTTCAGTTCTGGCTACGCAAACTGTGTGCATTTTTACGACTGATGGAATCGATTCCTTCTTAGCAGTTTTTCTGTAATCTCCACGGCCCTGTTCCTTACTGAACCCACACGGGAGCCGTCATACGGCCACACCTGTTCAGGTGGCCTCCAGGGGATGTCACTAGTTACCCTGCCTCTGTGCAGACTGGGCGAAACTCAGGCACCAACACGTGCATTATGTATTTCATTCCTTATCTCTTTTTCCCAGGAGTGCCCCGTGCCGGCTTTTCAGGGTACGGCAGCCCCACTCTGCTGTGGAAGGCTGAGGGAAAGCAGGGCTAATTCTTCCCACAAAGAGCATCTTTCCTGAGAGCCTAGCACATTATCCCCTGGACAGTGCCATGGGCAGCAGGGTCCAGAGCAAATCGCAGACCTCACAAGTGTGAGCATCTGTTGACTGGACTCTGACTGTGCTGAAACACATCTGTACCTTATTCTGGAGAATCTGGCTTTTTAACATTTTCTCTATTCACGTCACCTGTGTGTTTCCCATGTCCTGAGATACTGGGTCAAAAGTGATGATTATTCTGACTGATTAGTCAAATTGTCGTACTTTTAAAAGAAAAATATAATGAAAATTAGAATATTTTATGATCTCAGTGTTTATCTATGGGTAGTACTATGTTCATAAGCATCAGTAGATGGGTGACACTTATGTCACCCGCATTTTGGCATTAGTGATGATGGCATGGTCATCGTGAATTTGGGCACACAGACATTTATCATATTTTCATCAATCTTAGGGATTTAACTTGAAGCATTGGCATCGCATATGAGCACTGGTGCTTTTAAGGATTTCTAGTTTTTAAAAATGTATTACAAGCACTAAGTCTGTCTGTGTGATTCTAAATGATTAAGTAAAGGATCAGTATACTCGTGCTGTCCCTTTGTGTTCCACGCACACCAGCTCCCTTCCTGGCCTGCGCTGCGCCGTGGAGGCGAGCTCGGAGAGCATGGGCTGGCGACGTGGCTGTGTGTGTGCGACGCCTGGCTGGAGGCCTGGGAAGCAGCTTTCCCTCTTCCGCCCGCTCTGGGTCTCCCAGCGGCTAAGACCGAACAACATCTACTGGCTGAGTTTCTTCTTCCATTTGATAGCTCAACCGAAGCTTGACGCTTATTGTGGAAATTGTCTTGATTTCCTTAGATGAGATGAGCATCCAAGGAGTTTGGAAATGTGTTTTAATTAAGATTCTGCTAAATTTTACCAGACACCTACTCGGAAAACAAAGCAACTAAATAATGAACTGTGATGAGAGCAGATGCTGTTCTAATGACAACCTGTTACCACTCGGGTGCATCTCTGGTTGCTGTACTGTGTTCCTTTACCACGTCCAGAGCGTGCCTGCACTCACCAATGCGTCAGCCGTGGGGCACTTAGGACAGTTCCTCATCCCAGACCACTATAAAAGATGCTTCTAGCATCTGCAGAATTCTCCACGGAGCTAATTCGGTCCCACCCACCAACCCCTCCTTCCCTCTATTTGACACGTGCCTGGAACCAAGCACTTCTCTAGTTTTCCTTGTGGAATTATTTTAGCCATACATCAAGTGAAGCTTACAAACTGATGAGAATCTAATGATGCGTTTATTTACAGATGTGCCTTTCATTTCCCTGTTACGTTGTGGAGGGGTAAAGACGCCTCCGCCCCTCGCACCCCCGCCAGTGTCGTGGGAATAGCCGTGCATTTGACAAAATAAAAAGTGGAGATGGCCTCCTGTTGGATTTCACAGACAGCTGTCCAAAAGGAGTTGGTACAGAACCTTTTTAAATGCACAATTCGTCTCTCAAAATAACAAACCAGAAACTTCCTTCCCAGAAGAAGCAGTAACACTGTTCTGTGGCTTTCTATGATCGCATGCTTTGTTTTTATATTCAGATTGTTGGCCTACGGTTCAGACCTCGAGCTCAGCACCAAACAGTGTGATCCACAAGATCTGTTTTCAACCTGACATGGAGGAGGGAATGTAGGATCCAATTTAGTTTTCAGGTTCAGAGCCACAACTCACACGTTCCTCTCTTATACTGTCTAAGTGTTTTCAGGAAAATCCATGAATAAATGAAAGATGAATGTGCAGGGTGGGGGACACCTTGACTGCCTTAAATCCTCTTCTAGCATACCAAAGGCCAGGAGCCTGCAGCTGCGACAGGATGGACAGCTCTCCCAGGCGCCCATGTCCTGCTGCTCCGGGACAGCGACGTCCTCGTCCTCCTGTGTGAGAGGGGGTACCAGCTGACACAATGAGCTGTGAATTCAGCTTGGCTACTAACACGTTTTTTGGGTCAAACACCACCTTCATGATTCACCTCTGCAGAAAATGGTGTGCAGGATTCTACAAATGCATAGAAGCAGTAGAAAGAAACAGAAAAAATAACCAGTTAAAACACTGAAAAAGAAGGAAATTGCAATTCAGTTGCAATTTGACTTATTGTGGTTCATGGTAGTAAGATTTTAGTGACCTATAATTAAGATATGATTCCTGCATTGTAAAATTCTAATACTTCAATGTAATTTGGGGAGGGAAGGTGAGACTCTAAATTACAGGAAGGTGTGAGATTTTGCATTTGAGAACAAGGATTCATTACGTATTTATGTATGGGTCATAGACAGCTTCAACGTGTTGCATGGAGTGTTTTCATATGGGTACAGGGATCTTCGGATAAAGACTACTTTAGAGCAAGGCTGGTCAGGAGGCCTCACATGGCATCTCTGGAGCACCTGGCCTACTTGGGACCATGTTCTGGTGGGGAAGCTGGAAGACAGGGCCGGCAGACAGACGGCGGGTGAAGGCACTGGTGGAAGGGACCTGCGGCACAGGTCTCCCCAGGCTGCGTGTCGCTGAGTTGGCGGTGTCCTTTGTGAGATCCCTGCCTGCACTGGGCATGCACAGTGCTTGGCTGGGCCAGCTACGGGGGTTGCGTGTTCTGTGGTTGCTGCCTAGAAATTATGAGGGTTTTGCTTTGTACTGTGTGTTCTGGAAGTGGATTCAACATGACGGGGAGTCTGTGCTGTCTCTCAAAGCCCTAGCCCAGTGTGGTCCAGGGCCACTTCCCCAGCCCCATCCTCTCCTCAGCTGACCACTATCCAGCCTGCCATGCCCTCTCTGTGTTTCTGCCCTATAACCTCTGCCACCCCAGGCCCTGGAACGCTCCCTCTGCTTGCAGCCCGAGGCCCCTACTCCCTGAGCACCGTGGTCCGTGGGGGTGTGCTGGCTTCAGGCTGGCAGGGCAGCCAGCGGTGAGTTGCAGGACGCCTTATCCTGCGTGGTGACTGTCCTGCCTCAGGTGCGGGGCAGTGGCGGGGGTGGGGCAGGGGGAGGGAAGCGAGTGTGGGTTTCTCACCTCCCCTGGAGAGGTGGAGAGGGGAACTGGCTGAGTTCATTTACTTCAAGTTCTTTCACTTGAAAATGGGGATGACAGCAACACATGGAGCTGTGACAGTACAATAAGGACACACACAAGACGCCTGACACCTTGCTCAGAACATGGCAAACACTCAAGACGCAAGTAATTACTGTTGGAATGTCAACTGCCACCATCCTCCTCATCTGTTGGCTGAAGAGAGTGATCAGAAAAAAGAAAAAAAGGAGAAAGAAAGCTCCTACTGCAGCAGCTTTGAATGGATCTGGGTCATGTATGTCTCTGTGAGCTAAGAAAATAATCACAATTGCTAGGCTTTCAGCAGAAAACGGATGCACACCATAGATGGAGATTCAAAGCACAGCTTCCGTAGCCTGGCAATAGGTAGGCGCTGTGGGGAACCGTAACAGTCATTTAGCTGGAGAAGGAGGGAGGCGGGACTGCTGTGGAGGGCACAGTCCCTGGACGGCGGACGGGGACTGCACACACCTGGCCAGGGGGCCATGAACTCCACTCAGTGTGCAAAGTGTGTTCAGGACCTGGAGTCTAAATAAACTGTTTCAAATCCTAGATGAGACAGACAGCTGTTGGCTTTTACTTTAGAGCCTATTTTGCCACAGCTCTGATTATGGGATGGGACGGAATCCTGGGGGAATGTGAACCCCACTCATTGTACCTTTTCTCCACAAAACCATCATGCACCCGATGAGATGCTATTTCTCCAGTTTCCAGAAGTTTCTGAGAAGTTATCAGAGTCTCTGATAAGAAGCTGCCCCTTCTGCAAGCGCTGTTCCTGGTGTGCACACAAGGGTACTAAGGCACATGCCCCTAGCACTGCCGCGGTGCTGGGGGACATGCAGAGCAGCCCCTGCAGTTCTCATTCGCCCGGCTGTGCATCAAGAGCCTGAAGTCAGCAGCCTCTTTCTCCCTCCGCTTCTTCCCCTCGGAGATCTCCTCCTGGTCCAGGGCTGCCATTCACATCAAAGGGAGCCCTGGGTGTGGAGCAGGCATCCAGGAAAGAAAGAAAAGTCAGAATTGAACTCATTATTTTAAAGATGGTTAAAATAAACAAGCTGGCAAGGTATGTCTTCTCTTTGACTACTCATTTAGAATTTTTTTTTTTTTGTCAAAGTAGGGCAGTTTGCAGGGTTTCTATCAGCTGACCCCATGCGAAGGGGATCAGGTATGCTCTCCATTTGATGAAGCTGGGAGAAGCTGAGCTGAACTGAGTCACACCGTCCCTCCCCACAAGCTCCCAAAGGGCGTTCACCTGTCACACCCCTCCCTCTCTGTAGATGCCAGCTGCAGCAGAAGAAGAGTTGCACGGAGACAGAGCCCCGAGGAAGCAAGCCAGGCTCTTGTTTCTTCACGGAAACCTGCACGCTGACATTTTACGATGCCGGGATGCTGCCGCGGTGTGAAACTGCGCTTTCAGAACCTTTCCAAAGGGAGCGGGCACGAAGGAGGACCCAGGGGTCTGGATCCCAGGAGTTGTGTCCGCAACTGGGGCCACAGAAGGACCTGGCTCCTTGGTCACCTTAAAAAGAGAGGAGGCCTTTAAATTTATGGATGCACAGCTGAACACGGCGCTTTTATGGGGACCTCTTTGGGCCTGATTAATTGGTAATTGGGGCGAGAGCTATGCACTTGAGTGACTCTTGTTGCCTTGATTGTAAATCGCAATCTGGTGCTCGCTCTCAGCAGGTCACATTGCTGTTTTTGCTGTACCCCAGTGACACAAGTGATTAAATCTGTGTAAACAGTATCATTATGAAAATATTTTTGTTATAGGCACGAGGAATTAACACATTTTTATTTTGGATGGAAATTAAAATTATTTGTGGGAGCTTGGTATGTTTTCATCAATTGTCAGTCATCCCAATAGAGCTTGTAGTGAAGGAACTATTTTAATTTTCACAAAGGAAAAAAAAAAGGCTCTCAGATGGAGGGCTTTTAAAACTGAGAATTATGATAATTATGTCATTCATAATACTGAGTGCTACATTACAGGCAAGTATTATGTCACTTAATAGTTAGCTCAACAAGTAAACAGAAATATGGAAATCAGCCCACATATCCCCCTACGACGGGGCACCTTTGAATGAGAAGACGTTTAATAGATCATGAGTGCGTGTGCATGTGCGCGTGCACGCGCACACACACAGGTATATGTGTGTGTGTACTGGATACCAAATGCCTCTCGTTTCATTGTATTCTATGCATTTCCTGAGTTAACTTTGCAGAACTTTAAATGTATTGGCTGCCTCTGGGCAGCAGTGATTATTGCTAGTGGGTGGCCATGGATCACAATGACACAGGACTTCTGGTCCGAGGGCTGAGGTGGGGGCTTCGGGCTCGCAGGGATGGGTGTGGCTATTAGGTCCCCTCAAGCGGGTCTTGCAGTATGGTTTATGCTCGATTCTGAAGGAGACAACTTTGAATTTTACACTGTCTGCTGTCTGAGCACCAGTCCCTTTGCAACTTTTGAAGAATAGGAAGGTTCAGCAAATGCGTGATGTAAACCATGTAAATCACAAAGCTCCTGTTCTTTTTATGAACGGCCACTACAGCGATCCAAGGCAGGTATTGGTTGTATTTGGTACTCTCCAGCGAGCCTGCTTTCACCTCGGTGAGCTCAGGCAGCCAGGTCAGCCCACTCTAACGGGGCCCTTCTGCCTGTTTCATTCCTCAGCGTACTTACTGGGAAAGCCTTAGACGAACTCCAGCCCAGGGTGCCCACTAAGTTACTGAGACCCTCAGTTCCTGTTCATCTACTGGCTGCCTGCTCAAGTTAGATAAAAGAAAAGAGACAGGGCTGGGGATTTAGCTCAGTGGCATAAGCGCCTGCCTTGCAAGCAGGCAGTCATGAGTTTGATCCCCGGTACCGATAAAAAGGAAAAAGACAAAAAAAAGAAAAGAGACTTCTTTCTTTTGGTGAACTGGCAAAAATCATTATTGCATATCAAGGTGAAAAGAAGAGCTAACAAATTAGCAAATTTGCCACCTTGCAGACTGAAACAAAGAACTGGCTGCATAGGTCTCAGACGGCTGTCTTTGCAATGCATAGGCCCAAACACAAAGCACAAAACCGCCTTTGAAGAGAGGAGGAGGCATTTGCTACGCCCTGTAATGCCCTGCAGATGTTCCGAGTGCTGCTGGCGGTGGGGAGAGAGGGACAGGAGGCCCAGGCTGCACCCTAAAGGGCTGAATGTGGGAACTGGGCGCTGTCACAGGGACTGAGTCCTTGCCTAGGAGTAAGCTTGCTCAGGACCCAGTGAGCTCCAGGCGTGGGTCAGGCCGCAGACCCACAGCTTTTACAGGTGACTGTACCAGTGTCACTGTTTCCGGTGTGCCAGCCCCACCTCTCCCTCGCTGCATACTGAGCATCACCTGGTTATGCCAGGCGGGCTTCTCATCATCAGGCAGTGTGTTAGCTGCTTTTCCAGGCACCAAAGGCCAACCATATTTCCAATGATCAAACAGCAGAGAGGGGGGCAGGAAGGAAAGTATCATTTACGTTTTAACAAAAATTATTTGCCCGTCTAGTGTAAAGCAAAAAGCCAAACCCTAGAAAGAAAAACTCAGGGGAAAAGAGTATAAAATGAGTTGCTCAGAGAGGAATGAAGACGGGGGAATGTATGGATAGTTTATTCCTGAATATAAACAAATTCAGGGTGATTACATTTTCTTGTCAAGAATTTGTTTTCATAGTGCAACATTTTATCTTGTGTGTACTGTAACTTAAGTAATTTCAGTGAAATTTAACTCGTTAAACTCTTTTGGAAAGAAAATTATATCAAGTGCAGAAAATAACTTTTGAGAAGCAAGATAATTAAGCTTCACTGGCTCATTAATAAAACCAAAAGCAGTCTTCTTTGGAAACATAAATAAAATCATCATTCTGACCCAGTGAATATTTGCGAAGTAGTTTTTAGAACACAATATATGGTGGGGTCAGGACACAGGAAAACACACAGACAGCAGGCAGCTAAATGCTCAATCAGAGCCGGGGCACTTACGGATCTTCTGCAGAAAAATAGCCATGGTCAGAGCAAAAGAAAAAGCTGTTTATTATATCCCTGCTTGAAAGTATTTTCTACCGTAGGGTAAGGCATACCATACAAACATGGGAAAAACAGTGAGGTATCAATCAGTGTCCAGAACCCTCCTGGTCCCACAGTGCCAGCTCTTGATTTTCTACCTGCCCGCTGTGGGTGGGCGGTGGACACACTGTGAGAAGCCCGACACTTCGGCCAGCTCTGCAGTAGCCAGCGCTATTTCTCTACGGATGTGTGAGCTCTCTGACAGCGCCATATAATCCTCCATGCATTCTTGTTTCCCCAAAGACAATTTATCATTCAGAAATCGGTTATTCCAGTGAAAGGTTATTAATGTAAGATCTTAGAAAGCTAAATCTACAAATATGCTGCACCCCTACACATAACCAACTTGAGGCACTCAGAAGTTAAGTTCCGCCTGGGACGGAGGCTGGAGTGGACCGAGCAGGAAGACGCCCGGTGCTCAGGTCTGCGCGGCGCTCGTGTGTCTCTCATTGTTTGAATCCACTGTCCCTGGACACAGGAAAATTCAGCAGGCAGCTCACCATCCAGGACCCAACAAACACCAAGAAAGCGTGGGCTCCTGTGAACCCGGCCGCTGTCTGGCACCTGTGCAAACTCGCACCTGGGGCAGAACTGGAGGGGAGGACAGAGGAGTTCAGGACTGAGAATCAGGAGGAGGGCGAGGAAGCAGGGTCCAGTGGGCGTAGCTATGAAAAGTGACCTAAGGGCCTGCTGTGGCAGAGTGTTTTCTCCTCTGAATGTGTGTATGTGTGCTCGTGTGTGTCCTTGGCTGCAATTTTGCACTATGTTTTGCAAGGTTGGTTTCAAATATGTAAAGAATGTATAAAATCTCTGAGCTCTTTCTTATGATGGAAGATGAATCTACAACGATCTCAAAGTAAGAAGTTTAAGAAAAAAAACCTCAGTGTTTTTGTAGAAAACCCTGGAGATATGAATATTGACAGATCTACATGTATGTGTACAGATGGCTTGCTTAAAATTTTTTAGGACTATACATTTTTACTTCAGCTATACTAACTGATATGAGATTTTTATGTTGCATATATTCAAGTTGCAAATTCCTTTAGTTTTAAGAATCATTTACGGATCATTTTCCAAAACGCGATATGAGGCCAGTTGTTTCCGGAAGAGTGGAAGTGTGTGGGGACTCCTGCACGGGGCGGGGCACGCGTGTTCTGATGGCCTGGCCCACCTGGGCGCGGCGTGGACGTGGAAATCCCGCCTCGCCGCTCGGCTTCAGCCTGCGCTTCCTAAATGAGAACAGTACCCGTGCGACACGGCGGCAGCGTAAGCATTGGACACATTAACCCGTGTAAAGCGCCTCGCAGAGCCCATGCACAGTGAGAACAAGGTGACTGCGTCTCCAGGCATCAGTCCTGGGGACTGGCATCCCCCTGGCACAGGGAGCCCTGACTCCCTGCACTCCACAGCTCAGGGGCTGAGTGCCCTGCCCAGAGTTCAAAAAGTCTGGAAAGGCTCAGCCTTAGTCACTCTCCTGCAGCTTTAAAGTGAGACCATCTACTCTTTTATTTGGTTATTACAAACTCATTTTACTAGTCACGTAAATATCTGATTTTCTTACTTAGACAACAGTAATTTAGAAACAACATTAGGAGTATTTTCTTGAGACAGGGTCTCGGTTTGTAGGGTAGGCTGACCTTAAACTCACTGTGTAGCCCAGGCTGGCCTCAAACTCCTGGCAGTCCTCCTGCCTCAGCCTCCCCAGTGCTGGGATTACGGGCATATGCCACCAAGCCTGGCTACAAATCATAATTTTTTAAAAAGAAAGTGGGTTTTCCTTCTCAAGTATCCTATTTCTTGTCCATAGTAGGTCTGGAAAGATACCCTTTGGTAATTTGATCATTTGGTTCTTCATCCTGGAAAAACCCACGGAGGGAAGAGATATATTTAAAAAAAGAGAAACCAGCCCAAGTTCATTGTCAGAGCTTCAAAAAAGTTGAGGTTTTGGCTTCAGTCCAATAAAAGGTGAAGATCCAGGTCAAATCTTATTTTATATAAAATGACAGCTTTCGCTTGCGACATCCAGTAGTTATAGTTGTGGCATGTGCTTCCGTTAGCAGGTTTTGGGTAAAATGCTGAAATTAATCTTTTGAATGAAATTAATCTTTTGGTGGCTTTACCACAGCTACCAAAATAGAAACACCCTAAAGTACCCCACCCTTTGTTAAGTTGACTTTTAGACCAGGTAAAGGCTTTTGCTGCTGCATTGTCTACGAGGGAGCAGGCTGGGCTGAGCGCAGGGAGAGGGAGAAGTCATTGCCGAGCTGGAAAACGGGGCTCATTCACCAAAGCTGAGACGTGAAGCGCGACTCCTGAGAGCACAGCTTCGGGCCGGACTTCAGGCTTCCGGCTTCGCTGCTGGGGGACATGTGACCTTGTTCTCCTTTCCTCATCAGGGAGAAAGAGACTGTGATAATAATAATAAATGCAGCCC